AACTATTTCTATTTTAAAGATGACAACACTGATTGTAAGTCGCAAACAACAAATTGCGAGGGTTTGCTTCAGTTTCTTGCTAGAAAAGTAACGCATACTTCTGGAGTATTTTCATGCAAACAAACAACAGGCCCGCTGCTCCCTTGCGCAATTCACATATTGCAGAAACCCCGACAAATTACTTTCTCTTAATCTTTCTTGGGTCCAAATGACCTGGAGATCAAGCTAAACGGTGCCAAATCACCAACGGCTGTTGCTTTATCGTAAAACGTTGCGCGCTCTTCGTCAGAATAGAACCGAGCGAAGGGTGCTTGCTTGAATGGAACCAAGCGGTATCGCTCCTGTTCCAATATATAGGCTGCTTCCTTGTTGACGCGCGCCAGTTTGTTGCCATATGCCAAGTCAGCAATGTTCCCCAGGGCAATACCTCCAATGATAACCGGAGCGAATAGAATCTTGGGCACTGGCTTCTTTGCCAATTGAGCGATGGTTACCCCAGCAGTAAGTGTCAGCCATAATGACCCGAAGACATGGAGGGTGTCTCTTGCTTTGGCAACATTGACCGCAATTTGGATCTCGCGTTGCATCATCATTCGCTTGGTAATCTCTTCGTCGACACCAGCTCGGATGGACTTCTTGGTATTGTCCCAAAAATTTTGGTGCTTTTCTTGTTTTGAAGTTCTGTTTCCCATTTTTTGTGTGCTTTAGTGTATTTCTTTTCAGAGAATTTGCTTTATGGTTGTTGTGTTGTTGATTGTTGTGGTGATTGGTTCATTTGAGCTTGCATTCGTTCTTGTGATCCGTGACTGCTTTTTTAAAAGATCCTTTCGGATTTTCTCATGATCCTCAAATTTTTCGCCTTGTCTACCACGGTACGTGTACCGTACGGTACATCAAGTCACAGTTGAAGAGATATGGTACTTGTAAAGTTACATATCTGAGAGTACAATTCCACGAGTGAGTCATCGTGCTAGTAGAAAGATGTTATCCTCTCTATTTCTGCTTACTGTTACTTTATGATTGCACTTGCGTCGACAAGAACTCGAGGAGCCAATGTCTTGTGCTTCATACTTCTGAGCCTCGCTGGTGTGGTCTCTTCTCAGAGGAATATGTCCACGCCTTCATCAAAATCTTCCAGTGCTATTCAAGTCAACTCATTTACGTTGAGAACGAGCCGAAATGGAGAAAGAAATCGAGCAGTATGCCCTATCTCTAATTATGTCTCGAAATAGGTACATGATGCCTAAAACCTAAAAGGTAAAGTCTTCTGATTCCCCAAATTCAAATTCATCCTCATCGCCAAACATGTCGTCCAAACCACCTTCTCGCTTCTCTTTCTCAATAACTGCTCGTAATAGCGCTGCCTGCATTGGATTCAAGACAGTACCCATTTCTTCATTTCCGTCGAGCACGCCTACATGGACAGCGCATCCCAGGGCAACAGCTTCGTCGGGGTCAACAGTCTTGACAGGCGGACATCCTGTCAAGGCTGTCAGCAAACGACCGATAGCTGGCATACGAGTTGCACCCCCAACGAGAACAAGTCTTGTAATAGGTCTTCCCGAAATACCATCGCCTCGGATCTTTGCATCGGGCTGAACTTCATTGGCCTTTTTTGTTTCTTCTCGAAATTTGCGCTCTTTCTTGGCTGTTTGTCTCGCCTTTTTACGACCACGCTGTTGTTGCTTCTTCGCCGCAGTGAGGTCCAATTCCGGAACAGCATCATCGAGGGCAGCTTCACTGGAGTCGTCCAATTCGTCATTCTCTTTGTAGAAAGCCTCCTCGCCTGAAAACGCTCCGTCAATCTCCAGGGCCGATTCAACAATCGATGGCCGCGTATCTCCAGGTAGTAGGGCGCCTGCCATAATGGCTACTTCGCGAATGGGACGAAGGAGCATCTTCAGCTCAGCAAGACACAAAGACTCCATTTCTTTGCGTGTCATTTCGTAGAAGAAGTGAGTCGAATTTTTTGATCGACTTTCAAAATCGTCTATTGCATACGGTAGAATGACATCACCGGCACTATTTTGTGAAGACCAATCACGATCCGTCAAGGGCAGTGCTAGCTTGACAGATCGATTGTTACTCAGATATATCCGAATGGCTTCAGCTGTTCGAAGGATGGAATCGGATGCTGTTTCGGAGCGGCCACAGCCTACCAGCAAACCCTTCAAGAAATTTGCGATCCTCGCATCGAAGTTACTACCACCGAGTTGCGAATCTCCAGAAGTGCAAACAATTTCAGTGAGGCCGCGTTCCACAAGTAGAATGCTAACATCATATGTACCTCCACCGAGATCGAATACCAGAACCAATTCTTCGTTATCTGACCCTTTGTCAACTCCATATGCTAGTGCAGCTGCTTCTGGTTCTCTCAAGAGCTTCACCTTGTCGATCCCTGCAAGGTTTGCTGCTCGCACTGTGGCATCTCTCTGTGCATCATTAAAGTAAGCTGGAACTCCGATAACAGCTCGCGAGATCTTCTGATTTATTTGGTTTCTGGCTTCCGAAAGAAGTCTGTCCAAGATGACGGCAGAAATCTTTTCAGGTGAAACTCTTTCTGCATTTGTGGTTGACAGCAGAGAAAGCATAACAGGGTTGTCGTGCGCATTCTCAAGGAGTTTCTGAAGTGATGGTTTCTTCTTCTTTTTCTTAGTCTTTTTCGGTTCTTCTATCATAGGAATTGCAATAGAGTACGGCACGACATCTAGCGTTTCTTTTGGTACGTAGTCTGCTCCAGTGCCCATGATCCGTTTCACGTGCCGATACGCACTCCGATTCTGCGTGGATTCCCAATCAACCGCATCATTTCCGACGAGGGGGGCAGGATCCTCTCCGTTCTCACCAAAGTATGCTACCACTGATGACATGGTGTTACCATTATTTGGAATCGAGATCATTCGGGGAACATTACCATCCAGGAAGGATATGGCGGAATTGGTTGTACCTAGATCAATTCCGACACCAATTCCTCCTCCGTCTTCGCCAGCTTCTGTGGACATTAGCAAAGTGTTGATTCCATGGTAGCTGTGATGTTGAACCGAGAATGTGCTGGAAAAATGAAAGTTCTTGCATAGTTGTAAGGATATCCAGGCAAATGAGGCTAGCCTGACCATTGTAACTGGATCTTTCGAAGATGGTGTGATTTGCGACATGCATTCATGACGGTTGAGAGCTGAGAGCCATCAAAAGTACGGACGCCGACAGAACGCTATCGCAAACTCCCTCCAACAACAAAAGAAAAATCATCATCTTGCGACCATGAAAGACAATTACGAGATCTGCCTAGTGGGACCAAAAGCGACACTGTTTCCCTATAGACCGGCACATGTGCCAAAGTACCATGAATGGATGAAGGATCCTGCATTGCTCGAAGCTACGGATTCAGAGCCGCTTTCGTTCGAAGAGGAAGTCAAAATGCAACAGTCATGGTGTGTTGACCCCTTGAAATGCACATTCATCGTCCATGCTTCCGAGGCCTGTGACCTTGGTGACTCGGAAGTTTCTGTTGAGAAAAATTTACACGCTATGGTCGGGGACGTCAACCTATTTCTATCACATGTTGAGCCTGAGGAAGATGAGGAAGGTACTGCTGGGGCTTTGACTCTACCTCCACCAACAGCAGAAAAGCCACTGATACAGGCAGAGATAGATATTATGATTGCCGAAAATAATTACAAGCGACGTGGTCTTGGAAAAGCAGCGACCTGCTCCATGTTGCTGTATGGGGCCAATAAGCTGAATGTGCACAGATTCTTCTGCAAGATAAATGAGGACAATTTAGCATCGATCAAATTATTTGAAGGTCTGGGCTTCACCCAGTGTGACTATGCAGCTTGCTTCAAACAAGTCGAACTTGAGCTTGTTGAGCCATTGAAGAAGTTGAATGAGATTTTGAAACCAGACGGAGACTACAGAGTGTTGAAATGTCCAGAAAGGACTGACGAAAAATCATAGAATAGATCACGTCGGCTAGTACGCCTAGGTTTTGCATTTCATTTGTATTTACAGCAAGGAACAGAAACGCGATTCTAAATTAGGCTTCCTTGAGGTGAGGATACCATTCCTTGAATTCCTTGGTCATGGTAGCGAAGGTTTCATCCAAATTGTTGTTGACGAAAATTCTGTCAAAGTTGCCTTCACCTTGACCATATTCCATCTCTTTGCTTGCATTTCCAAGGCGCTTCTTTATTGCCTCTTCAGTCTCTGTTCCGCGACCGCGCAATCGGTCTTCAAGCTCCTTCATGGATGGAGGGGAGATGAATAGATATCGCGGAGAAAGCGACGATTCCTTTACTTTCATGACACCCTGAATCGAAAGTTGAGACCATTGTTGGATCTGGCCAAAAGGCATACCGTGCGAATAGATAAATCAAAACATACCTGGATATCGATATCAAGGACACAAATCTTGCCTTCCTTTTGCACCGACTCAACGGACGCAATACTAGTACCCTGCATTACAAGATGATGAGTTGGTCAAACTATCTCGTCATTTCAAAAGTCATTTCTCCGCGACAATACACATACATAGTAGTTTCCATGAACTTCAGCATATTCGACGAATTTTCCTGCAGCAATCTCCTTCTTGATATCCTCAACAGTGGTGAAGTGATAATGCTTTCCGTTGACTTCTCCTTCTCTTGGTCCTCTTGTTGTGTGAGAAACGCTGAATCCAAAGGCATCAGGGAACTTCTTCATGAGTAGATCGATTAGAGTGCCTTTTCCGACACCAGAGGGACCGCAAAACACGACAGGGGTTGGTAGATCAGACATATTTCACTGTTTGGATGGATTCGATTGTGATACAATAAGGTCATTGTGTCCAAATCATACTTTGCTTTGCAAATCGAAAATTGATTGACTAATCCGACCTTACGTCACCGAAATCCATCGATTTTTGGGGATTGATTTGTTGTTCAAGTCTCCCGAGACACCCTCGTGTCAAAGTCAAAGTGCATCGTGGCATTATCTCCAACCATGAAACGGTCTCCATTGAATGGACTGATATGCCCTTGCAAATACATTCGAAGATTGATATGTTTTGCATTGATTCTGGTTGCTAATGTATCTGCAGTCGATGAAGATTCTGAATCAACTCGATCCACAACGACTCCAAGAAAACAACTAGATTCTTCCCAACGTCGTGAACGCTCACGTGAACAATGGGAACTCGCTTTTAAAGAAATTAAGGCTTTCAGGGTGAAACGGGTAAACAGTACTGATCGAAACAAAGGTTTCTTTAGTCAGTGGAAGCTACTCTTGGATCAGCCTAGAATAGTTGAATTAGATCCTGAGACAAACATGACAACAGTCAAGATGGAGAAAGCAGGATCACCAACGGCTATGTGGAAATCTGGAACTCAGAGATTCGAAGGGTTTCCTTCTTGGGATCGGATATTGCAGGATTGGGCAGACGACGTTCAGGAGTATATGGACAGAGTAGAAGCTGAAAATATCGAATATCCAATGTCAACACATGGAACTCCTTACAAACAGTTGGCAACAAATGCTGAACAACCCAAAGTTGAAAAGCAGGCAAAAGTCGAGAAGCCTACTGTGATTCCGGAACCCAAAGACCCGAAAAAGAAAATCAAGCTCCCAGTTCCTGCTGCGGCAAGACCCGGAGAAGCCGTCCTTCCTCACACAGATTTATCAGACAAATCCAAGCGCATATGGATTGTGACAACAGCCGCCCTTCCGTGGATGACAGGAACAGCAGTGAATCCCCTTCTAAGAGCTGCCTATATGACAGAGGGACGAAGTGAGGAAGGAGGGTCTGTGACACTGATGATTCCATGGCTTGAACGTACGAAGGATCAAGAGTATGTTTACGGGAAAGATAAGGTGTTTGGAAGTCCAGAGGAGCAAGAGCAATACATCCGTACCTGGTTGCGAGAAAAAGCAAAACTTCCAAGAGCTAGTGAAGAATTGAAGATCGATTGGTACACATCGTGGCAAAACAAAATTGAAAACTCGCTCTACAGCATGGGTGATATCACGGCATTGATTCCAAAAGAAGAAGCTGACATTTGCATCCTAGAGGAACCCGAGCATCTAAATTGGTAAGTTATGATGTGCCCCTGCTATCGATAGGGTCGACTTAACATCTCACCTTTTGTTTTCAGGTATCGTGCACCTGGTGATTCATGGACAACGAAGTTCAAGCATGTTGTTGGAATTATCCACACAAACTACTTTGTGTACGCCCAAGAACAACCAGCAGCATTCATTCGTGTATGTATGAAGTAAGAGCGTTGGAATCTGTGAATAAAATGGATGAGCTAATGTCCTGTTTCTTTCTGTACCGGTAGGCTCCTGGAATGCGGCTTCTCTGTTCCTGGATGTGTAGAGCACACTGTCACAGAGTCGTTAAACTTTCTGGTACACTGGGGCAGTTTGCTCCGGAGAAAGAACTCGTTGAGAACGTTCATGGAGTACGATACAGTTTTTTGGAATCGGGAGAGGCAGTGAGAGACAGAATTGAAGCAGATGCCATAAACGACCCTGTGTTCGGAGCTGCCGCGGAACCAAAAGTGTACTTCATTGGGAAAATGCTTTGGTCGAAGGGGCTAGGGTCGTTGATGGAACTTCTGAGATACGCTGAGGAGAGTGCTGGTACAAAGGTTCACGTCGATATGTATGGCGGTGGACCAGACAAGGATGCTGCAGAGGCTCGAGCGAAGTCCCTCAAAGTCGACTTGGAGTTCCATGGTCCAGTTGATCATGCGGAACTAGCGTTCACCCACAAGGTAGGTACAATTGTAGTGGATGCACTTATATTTCACCTGATCTTCTGCAACTGATGTCATACACCCGCACAATATAGCTTTTCATTAATCCTTCCACATCGGAAGTTCTTTGCACTACAGTCGCGGAAGCACTCGCTATGGGAAAATTTGTCCTTGTGCCGTCACATCCATCTAATGACTTTTTCGCCCAATTTCCGAACTGTTTAACGTATGCAAACAAAGAGGAATTTGTCGGTGAGTATAGCTTCGCTGCTTTGTGCTGTTGACGTGTCATCAGGCTTCTCAAAGATTTGCAAACACGTAACAGGAAATCTCTACTACGCACTTACACACTCACCGGAGCCTCTAACGGAAGAGGACTCTTACGCTCTTAGCTGGGAAGCTGCAACAGAGAGGCTGGAAGCAGCAGCTGCCATACCTGTCAGCGAAGCCAATCTGATGAACGAGGCATTATCATCCAAAGAAGCTGGCATCGAGGTGAGAACATGAGTGATATTCACGGTTATGCATCGAAGATTTACTGACGTATCATTTCTATCCACTTAGATAACGTTGCCGCCCTTTATCGAGGATAAAACCGGTCGAAAGCTGGTTGTAAACACTTTGATTCGAACACGCTCCAGATATCGACAGTTTCGATCGCGTCTCTCCCAAGAGATTCAACAAAGCAATGGTACGTAGCAACAGTTTCGGGTGTGAATCTTGTTATGCCTCATTCTCATCCATTGAACAGTCCTGCCAGAAAAGGTCAAGGAAAGACTAATCAGCGACCTTGAGAACCGATTAGATTTAGACATTGATGAAATTTTGGAGTCACCAAAGCTTCGACTACAATTATCTCCCGCTGAGCTTGACAACAAACTCCTCGATTTGTACAAGAACATTCTCAACGGACCAAGAGGTGACGTACTACGAGTGCTCGGAGGAGGTCAAGAAGTCGCATTCCAAGATTTATACATAAAGCGTAGCACTTCAAAGCTCAGGAAAAACCAAGATGTCGATCAATCTAGCCTCTCTTTTGGACCATTCAGTGATTCGATCATCGAGGCTCGTGATGCTAAGCCGAATACTGCTTCCCAGTGGGTCCAGCAAGCTCTTGCCAAGAACCTGAAAAGCGACGACTTTGCAACAGAAAACTCGAAACGGAAAACGAAGAAGCCTCCGAAAGGCAAGGCAAATATGAAAATGTGCATCCCAAACCGCATATCCAATCAACGATTTGTTCCACTTGTTACATCACCAAGCCAATTTTGCCCACCACAAAGTGCAACACGATCTTTTTCTCTTCTGGTATAGACAAGACATATCATATTGTTTTGTGTACAATCAAATAAAGTCGAACAATATGTACCTATGTGGGTAGTCAA